CCCTAAACCCTAAACCCTAAACCCTAAACCCTAAACCCTAAACCCTAAACCCTAAACCCAGCTCTCCATACAGCACCAGGTTTAGGGTAGCCTAAACCTTAGACCCCAAATGAAGCCAACGATGACCGCTCTCCATACAGCTCCAGGCAGCGGGTCGGCCCGCCCTCATCCCTAAACAAAGGCTAAGGGTTCCGGGCTTGGGGTCTAAACCCTGAATCCTAAACCCTAAACCCTAAACCCCAAACCCTAAACCCTGAACCCTAAACCCTGAACCCTAAACCCTGAACCCTAAACCCTAAACCCTAGACCCTGAACCCTAAACCCTAAACAGCCCCCTGGCTTGCACCAAGGTCTCCAAAGAAAGGGGCTGGTAGCCAAACCTGAGGACAGGGGCAGTTTAGATTTGGCCTTTTAGGATGCCCTAAGCCCTAAACCCTAAACCCTAAAGCCTATGCCCTCTTTTAGGATGCCCTCTGCCCTCTAAAACCCTAAACCCTCAACAAAGCGGGTTAGGTTGTTCAAACTGTTTCGGGCTCAGGTTAGGCTGCTCTTCCTTCAGAGTTGGGGATTTCACAAGGGGCGATCATGACTATGGCATCCCAAAAACCCTAAACCCTAAACCCTGAACCACTCTTGTTTAGAGCTTTGGGGTTTCATCTTGGTGGCCCTGTGGTACCCTTTTGCTGGTTCTTCGCTTCCCCTGCAAAGCAAAAAGGGTACCCTTATTATGATATGGTTACCTGGGTTTAGGGTTTAGGGTTTAGGGTTTAGGGTTTAGGGTTTAGGGTTTAGGGTTTAGGGTTTAGGGGCTAGCAAGTCATTCAGGGAAACAAGACGTGAGGGTTGCGTCTTTGACTAGTATTAGGGTGGAACATCCCAAAGTGTACCTCAAGTTATCATTAAATCCTACGATCGGCGGTTCTCTACATTATGGTTTTTTTTGGGGTTCCCTTAATCCAGGCTCTATATTATGCTGGGAACACCCAAAAAGGGACAATGATTTAGAGAGCCCCCCCCCCCGACCCCCCCATATGAAATAAGGCATATTCCTTGAGGGCTCGGGGGGGGGGGGGGGAGTGGGGTTGGGGATACAAAGCGCAATACAGAGGATCACTCCGACTGAAGCTGTCCGACCCTGACGTTCTCGAAGACTTCGTAGGGTTTCTTCCCGTAAGTAAAGCTATTCAAGTACTCCCAGTCTTTGGGGTAATGTAGGGGCAATAATTACTGGTAGTATTCCCTTATGGCCCCTTATACTACAATACCCCCAAACCCTATTCTAATCATTCAGACCCCTACATTACGTTCCCCCTTTTTTTGGTTCTGCACCCCTTACTCCGAGCACGCCCGAAGAACCGCGCAAGTTGAAAGCCCTGAAGTGACGGGCCTTGAAGGGCTTGGGTTTAGGGTTTAGGGTTCAGGGTTCAGGGTTCAGGGTTTAGGGTTTAGGGTTTAGGGTTTAGGGTTTAGGGTTTAGGGTTTAGGGTTTAGGGTTTAGGGTTTAGGGTGACAGGACATGGTGTTGAGGCAGGTCCTTTGCACGACCTACAAGAGCAGCTCGGATGCGAAGTTACTTCCGGAGAACTTGTGGTTTACTTTTCAGGAGAAGTCTGGGTTTGGGGGGGTGGTTCCCCACGGCTTATTATAGGGCCACCATTTTTTCGAGGTTCCCGGGGTGTTGTAGTACTGGAGATCCGCAATTTCTTTTGGCGACTACCCATTCGTAGAGAGGCAGCTGAAGTCAGGGATTGCTCTGCTTCGGGCCTTAGGGCTTAGGAGCTCACAGGGACAACGTGCCAACAGATCCCCATGTTTGCTATATTGAAGCAACCACACACATACATATGTATATATATATACATATATATATATATACATATGCACATACTGTATTATGTATACATGTATATATGCATATGTGTGCATAACTATGTGTATATATGTATATAGATATGCACATGTACTTATGTATAGAAGTACATGTATATATGTAAATATACAAAACGGAGGACTAGTCAACATGTAGAAGGCAACAAGTACAGACTATTGCTCTATGTAGTCAGTTGCATGCGTACTGTCGAGTACGAGTGATAGGAAATATACAAAATCAACGCCCGCGGTTTTTCGGACTGTATGTATATATGTATGTGTATATTGTTCATTTCTATATATATATATATGTACATATAGACCCAACAGAGCCTCTACTGAAGAACAACCCACAGGCACAGTGTGCGTTGCAGACTGGCGCGACCAAACGGCGTCGGCCCTAGTGGTGTGGAGATCATGGAAGGTCCCGACGCTTCGGGTCTTAGGGTTTCGGGTTTTCTTATGCCCCAAACCCTGGAGACATAGCCCCATACATATTTGGGTTCCGGAAACCCTGAGCCCTTGATGGCCCCAGTCGCAGGTGGGGCTCTTGGTTGTGACAGGGTCTAACTTTTCCGAAGAATCTCCAACTCAAGGACGGGAAAGGAGCCATCCACTCCCGAAAGATGCACAATAACAACATGATCGTTCTAACGTGTTGGTTATCGTTTTCCATTTCGTAGCCATCATCATTGTCACACAGACCGCAGTATTCACATTACTATGATGCTTCTCATTGTTCGTATCGGTTGTCGCTCTCGTTTATCTTTATACACGCTCATCTTTGTTGTTTGTGCTGTCCCCTCCATATTTTATTCATGCTTGTTGTTTCTTTGTCTTTGCTTGCTTCTTTATTCCTTCCGTTTCATGAATGATGATGTTATGCGGCAGTTGTTGTCACCATAATTCGTCTTCTTGCTGTAATTGTTGTTGTTGCAATCAGGTATCTTGCCCGTATTCCTCGTTGTTCATATGACTACTGCGACAGTAGCGTTATTGGTATTACGTGGATTTTTATTGTTATGCTTGCTGCTGCTGCTGCTGCTGCTGCTGCTGCTGCTGCTGCTGCTGCTGCTGCTGCTGCTGCTGCTGCTGCTGCTGCTGCTGCTGACCGCTATTGCTACTGATAACGAGTATTATCACTCCTACTTCGCCACCGGACGACGATTGCTACTACCACTATCACGGTCAAAGTTTGTCTTCTGGCGAGGATGAACAGACATGGCTCGCAACCGAAATCGAAACGGAGATGTACTACCGCCACCATTACAATGGTTATTACCACGACAAGTGCATCCCTGAACTCCAAGCCCCCCGCCCCGCCCCGCCCCCCCTGCCCCCCCCTCCACAAACCGAAACATGGTTGATAGCTGATCCCAGTAGGACATGTCTGGTCCACCCTTACAAAAAGCAATTAGAACACTGGGAGCACGCCGACACTTGGTATGTAGAGTGAGGGGGGGGGGGATGTCAGACTGAGGAATGGAGACTCAGCTCAACTGCTGCTGTTTCCTCACTGGCTCAAAACCCAACTTTGCAACTTTTGGGCTTCTTATGAGGTAGTTTATTCTCAAAGTTTCAACTTTTATTTCCTTGGGTTTTGGGCCAGTAAGTTTCAGGCTTGGTAAACCGCAGGCAGCTGGTTATGGGCCCTAGTCCTTCAATCGGCGAAAACTTGACCCTGACACTTTAACCCGCCAGAGCCCCTGAATCCCCCTGTCCTACGAACCCAAACCTAGATCCCAGAATCCGCTCACCCTGGCCTCCAGGTCGTCGTCAAGCGAATCAAGCGCGACCTTATCGACAAGGCGGGTGTGGGGTGCGTGTTTTTGTTTTGCGGATTGAGGGGGGTTAAAAGGCAGGACAGCTTCACTCTGAACCACCCTGAACCCAGATTTCACGGTGATCCCAATCAGCGTCTCGTCGTCTCGTCGTCGTCGTCCTCTTGAGAAGGTCCACTTGCGAATATCACGCGTTCTAGTTCGGGTTTAGTGGGATAACTTAGTTCGCTGCAGCCTTATCTGGGTGGTTTTGACTCCGTGTATAGCTACCGCAGTGTTCAGCGGCGTAGACGTCGCAGATTCGCCTTGGGGGTGGGGTGGGAGGGGTTAGGGTGTAGGGCTTAGGTTGCCGGGTCTAGGGTTTAGGGTTTGATAAGGGTTTAGGGGCGGGGGGGGCAGGTCATGACCTAGAGAACGGCCTGTGGTGCGGCATGGTTGTAAACGCCTTGGTCAGCTGGTCAGAGAAAGCTCACAGATAGCAGGCTCCGTGGTGTAGCGGTTTGGGTTAACTAAGGCCGGAATTCCCCTAACCCTAACCCTAAACCCTAAACCCTAAACCCTAAACCCTAAACCCTAAACCCTAAACCCTAAACCCTAAACCCTAAACCCTAAACCCTAAACCCTAAACCCTAGACCCTAGACCCTAGACCCTAAACCCTAAACCCTAAACCCTAAACCCTAAACCCTGACCTTTAAACCCTTAACCTAAACCAGACGAGCCCCCTGCAACGCAGGATGATGAAGAATCCCAGGAGACCCGAGCCACCTGTCTGATGGTTTAAAACTGAAAGGGTTTAGGGTTTAGGGTTTAGGGTTTAGGGTTTAGGGTTTAGGGTTTAGGGTTTAGGGTTTAGGGTTTAGGGTTTAGGGTTTAGGGTTTAGGGTTTAGGGTTTAGGGTTTAGGGTTTAGGGTTTAGGGGTCCCTAATCCCCAGGTCCTCAACCCTAAACGCTAAACCTAAGGCCCTAAACCCTCCCCTTGGACCCACCCCCCTCCATTCATGATGACCTTAAAGCATCCGAAGCTTCTTCCTGGCGGCGTCGGGGCACACGCCGAGTTGTTGGGCGTTCGGGGTTTAGGGGGCTGTTGGACTTGACACCCTAAGCCCTAGAACCTAGGCCCTAGCTCCTAACCCAAACTCCAAGCCTATTTGTACCCCGACCCCCCAAAACCCTAAACCTGAAGCACCCAAGCCTCAATGTTCAACCCTAAACCCAAAACCCCTAAACCCTAAACCCTAAACGCTAAACCCTAAACCCTAAACCCTAAACCCGAAACCCTAAACCCTAAACCCTAAACCCTAAACCCTAAACCCTAAACCCTAAACCCGAGGCGACCTCCGTGCGGGAGATGTTGCATGAGCTGCACATCCTAACTGCGGTCAGCCACCCCTGCTTGGTCAACCTGCTGGGGGCGAACCTGGATAGGCCTCAGGGTTCAGGATTGAGGGTTTAGGGTTTAGGGTTTAGGGTTTAGGTGTGGACACCCACCCCTGTCCGGAGCCCTCAACCCTAACCCCTCGACCGTAAACCCCAAAACCCCAAAGCCCGCCAAAACCCTGATCCTTTAAAACCCCCTGTCAGGGACCAGGAGCCTCTATTTGTTACCGAGTTTATGGAGGGTGGCGACGTGGAGACGTACATGCACAAGCAGCGTCAAGCATCGTGCCTGGGCTGGCAGTAACATTGGGACCCCAAACTCCAGGTGTTTTAGGGCTTTGCTGCTTTTAGGTTTTTTGGTGTTTCGGGGGGGGGGGGGGTTTTCAGGGTTTTGGAGCTTTTGGGCTTAAGCCCTAAACCCTAAACCCTAAGCCCTAAACCTTAAAGGGCATTAGTTTCACCCTAACTGGGAGGGTGTTCAGTCGCACAGCGAGCCCAGTACAGAAATAGTATAAAAAAAACCTTAAAGGGCTTCTAAGCCCCCCACACTCCATTCTGATGATGGGGTCCTCGACCTCGCCGCAGCCTTGAGCCATCTGGACCCGTGGCCCTGGCGTCGTCGCGCAGACCGATGTCTGACCTGGTAGATTCCTTAACCGCCGTGAGGGGGTTTAGGGTTTAGGGTTTTGGGTTTGGGGTTTAGGGTTTCGGGTTTGTGATAAGAGCCAACTTTTGCATCCAACTCTGCTGGAGCACATGCCTGGGAAGCAGGGAAACGGGACCTCACCGCTCGAACCCCTGCGCCGCCATAGTGCCTGGCGCCCTTACTACTTTTTATGATGCTTGTGCGAGTGTCTGGGGATCTTATTCCATCCCCCAAGTTTCACATCACCCTCCTCCGCTGCGTTGACAGACAGATTTATAAGGACTGGTAGACACCAAGAGACTAGAACCTTGAGGGTAACCCAAAACCCTTCAACCCCTAAGGTGAAACAAACAACACACGCACACACATACTGCCAACCAAAAAAACACATAAGTCCATAGGTAAGTCCATGTGCACATATAAACACATGCACACATACGCATATACACATACATACATGCGTACGTACGTACATACATACAACCCTACACCCTGCCCAAACTCTACACCCATCTAAGCCCGAAAGCCCCACAACACCCAGGATCAACAACCGCTTCAAGCCACGTTTTGGACTGGCTCTGCAGTGGGCAATCTCCACCGCAGAGGCTGGTTTCGGTGTTCAGGGGTTCAGGGTATAGGTTTTAGGGTTTAATTAGGGTTTAGGGTTCAGGGCTCGGAGTTTAGGGTTTAGGGTTCAGGGTTTGGGTTTTAGGCTGGCCGAAGTCCCTCCACCGCGCCCTGACCTGCTCAACCAGTCCTCTTAGCCCGTCCCCTCCGTAACAAAGGAAAAGAAGCCGCCCGAAGCCAGAACCCTAAACCCTAAACCCTAAACCCCAAACCCTAAACCCTAAACCCTAACCCTAAACCCTAAACCCTAAACCCTAAGCCCTCCCTGGGAACCTCGCCCCAAAGAATTGCCAGGCCTTTGGCTTGTGAAGCCAGATCCGCACGACGTCCTACGTCCTAACTATCTGCCACCCCCTAGGTAGGACATTTCTCGCAAGATTTGGGGACATTTTGTGTTTACCCTTACTGATGGGAATGAACATTGTTTCAGAGGGTTTTGCGGGCCAACACAGTGGGCCCAAACGCTACAGCGTTTGGTGTTTCGGGTTTCACCCTAAACCCTAAGCTTCAAACTCAACATCCTAAACCCTAAACCCCAAACTTCAAATCCTAAACCCTTAACGAAGTGAGGCCTTGGCGTACCTGCATGGGTTGAACCATCCGATAATTCACAGAGATTTGAAGCCGCGCCTTGCTTGCAAGACCTGAGTTATCTGGAGTTTCGGAAAAGGGCTGAGGGTTTTGCGTTTAGAGTTTAGGGCTTTGAGGGGCCCAGGGTTTTCTAGAGTTTTGCATGTATATAAGGCTTCAAAAGCTTAGGATGTCGAGTGTAACGCCCAAGGTCTGCAAGGTGTTTTAGACAGAATGTTGGGGCACTGGTGACCATCTAGGGTTTAGGGTTCTAGGTTTCCTTTTTTTGAATTGGGGGCATTTTGCAAGCTTTGCCGATCGATGGAGTGGCTCATCGAGGGGGCTCCTGGACTACGAATTGCTTAAGAACCCCCCCCCCAAAAAAAAACACATGTAAATAAAAGGTAAATATAAATTTTAAAAGAAAAATATATATATATATATATATATATATATATATTTATTTATTCTTCCTTATAAGGACAATATGGGGTGCATTGTCTTTCTTTTTTGTTGTATTCTTCTGGGGTTCTTTAGCAAATTGCAGTTAGGGTTTTTTAACGTTAAAAAACCCTAAATTGTCCCCTTTTTTGTTGTATTCTTCTGGGGTTCTTTAGCAAATTGCAGTTAGGGTTTTTTAACGTTAAAAAACCCTAAATTGTCCCCTTTTTTGTTGTATTCTTCTGGGGTTCTTTAGCAAATTGCAGTTAGGGTTTTTTAACGTTGTCCTTATAAGGAAGAATATTAATATATATATATATATAAATATATCATTTTTGTTGTATTCTTCTGGGGTTCTTTAGCAAATTGCAGTGGTACTCTTCGGAGCTCAGGGATTCTGCGCTTCAGGCTTCGGGCCCAGGAAGTGAGCGCTGAAGTTCATTCGGGTTTAGGGTTTAGGGTTTAGGGTTTAGGGTTTAGGGTTTAGGGTTTAGGGTTTAGGGTTTAGGGTTTAGGGTTTAGGGTAGCATTTTGTCCATGTGACTGACTGAGACATGTCAAAGACTAGCTCAGTGAATGTGGTAAGGGTGTGTACATATGTGTATATATACACACACACTTCATGCACATTTGTAACTATGCTGATTTTTTCACGAATGTAGTACCCACATCAAGGTAAGATTGTTTAAGTTTCTTAGCAGCTTGAGAACCCAGTTGTTATGCTTGGAGCCGCAAAGGCCACACGAGGCGGATTCGTTGAGTAGCTCTTGGGATCTTTTGCTCTACCCTGGTTTCTTGCTTCGGGTGTAAGGTTTGTAGAGTTTTGGGCTTGGCAGCCCTGCTGTAATATGTACCACGCTCCGTCTTTGAAGAAGCATCGCGGTGATGGGTGCCCTCGTTCGGAAATTCTAACACCATGCTGAAGATGACCTGAGTCTTCAATCATATGGGGGGTTTGTTCCCTAAACCCTAAACTACCCTAAACCCTAAACCCTATATTGGGGTCCCATGAGGGACTTCTTACGCAGATTGTCGAAGAGGCCCCCAACCTCCCATCAAAGTGCAACGCTTCCATGGCATCATGCTTTCGACACAAGAAGCCCTAAACCCTGAACGAAGGCCGAAGGTGAATGGAGGAGTCGCTGGAACCCTCGTGTGTTTTCACGTGTGTACAGTATACATGAATATATGTGTATACACATATATGTGTATACATATATATATATATATACTTATACTAATATACTTCTATGTGTGTATAGAAATACAACAATTTGAAGAATAACAAGACCGACATTAATATCAATAATAATGATAATGACAATCATAATCTTTGTAGTAATGACAAAAACAATAATCATCATGGCAATATCAATAATAAGATTAATAATCTGAATAAGCATTTTTCTGTCCTCACCCTCAGCCGGTGACATTTGCGCCTATGCTGTTAACTGCAAGCCTGGCCATAAACACCCTATAGTCCTAAACCCCAAACCTCTATAAACCCTAACCCTCTCTAAGGCTGAACCTGCTTCTGACCAGAGACCTCCAAGTGAAGGCTCTCCAGCTTCGTGTGAGCCACAGGCAGTGCTCCTAATTTACATGTGTACATATATATATATATATAGATATAGACATAGATGTCTAGGCATATGGCTTCTGAATGAGCTTTGGGTTATCTTTACCCCCACCCCCACCCTCACACATGCTAGGTCTAGGGTTGAGGCTTGAGGTTTAGGGTTTAGGGTTTAGGGCTGGGTCTAGGTTTCAGTGTGATCTGCATGGACGCTTCCGGGCCAAGGCGATCAGTTTGCTCAAGCGTTTAGCATGCTGTTGCTAAGGCCTCGCGACGGGCAGAGAGACCTAAACCGTAAACTCTAAACCCTAAACCCTAAACCCTAAACCCTAAACATGTGTTGCCCTTTCTATCTTTTCAAGTTACTTGACGTGTTTTCTAGGACCCAGAGTGGGCCCTCATTTCCTTTTTTCACTGTCTAGGCTCTCTTCTAAGCACCTCCACACCAAAAACATCGCACCCTGTTGATTCCTAAATTCCTCTTGGGTCCAGTTTTGGAGGCTCGAACGCATTCAACCCGATTCTACAATCCTAACTGCAGAGCCTGCCGAGGCCCTTTTGGCGCCTGAATAATTAGAACAAGGTTTGGGGGCTACTATGGTATGATTATGCAGGGACCATAGGGGAGCTCTATTAGTTTAGGGTTTAGGGTTTAGGGCTTAGGCTTTAGTATCTATTCCGACCCCTATACTAATGAAGTACAGCGTGTTTGCAGGTAACGGATTTCGGCATCAGCAAGGCCGGTGTGTCGTCGTTTAGATGTCAGGGTCAATGGGTTTAGGGTTTGGGGTGTAGGGGGTAGGTGATTCATGGTCAATGGGCCAGGCGTTAGATGCAGGGACTCGCGTGGCGAGTTGCCCAAGCTTCGCGGCAAGATCTGCAGTGGATTCTGTCAGGGTTTCAGGACAAACGCGCCAAGCGTAGATGCAAGCTCCCTAAAACCCGACAAGCCAGACCCTAAACCCTAGCCCGAAACCCTAAACCCACTAAACTCCAAGTATCAAAGCAACACGAACCCCGGAAATCGTCCGTGGAGTCGGCTTCGGGCTGCACAAGGTCGCAGTTCTACCACTTTGATACTTGGGTGTTGGGCTTCAGGGCTAAGGTTTGGGGGGCTAAGGAGCTTGGGGAGCTTCGGGGCCTAAATTAAGGGCCTTAAAAGGTCTAGGGGGTCTAGGGTTTAGGGTTCATGGAGGGGGAGAACTAAAGGTACAACTGGCGGTGTCCGACCGCACCCGTGAACTTCCCAGTAAGCCCCCATCAGGCTTTTGGTGCTTCTTCCTAGCCTGAGCCCTAACCCCGGAACGCCTAAACCCTAAACCCTCAACCCTGAACCCTAAACCCTAAACCCTAAGCCCTAAGCCCTAAACCCTAAACCCTAAACCCTAAACCCTAAACCCTAAACCCTAAACCCTAAACCCTAAACCCTAAACCCTAAACCCTA